AGTGAGATGGAAAAAGCCTATGGACTCTGTCTCTGTCTCCACCTCTGCCTCCTACTGTGCTGCTGCTGCTGTTTGTCTGTTTGCTAAACAAATAACGGCAAATCAAATACAAGGCACATTTACAACAGCACAAGGAAATGTTTTCGAAAAATACCACACAAAAATAGTACTTGAAGTTCAGAGAATATTTTTGAAATTACAAAAAATAATTAAAATACTATACAAATTATTGCTTGGGGATTCATATAGAATTATTTATAAATTATGTGCCCATAAGTGCGTGTGTCTTAAAAATTGTCTCGAAAATTGAATACCAAAAATAATGAAGAAAATATATATAGGAAATATGCCCTATATTCGTGTCTGAAAAAAATATATACTGTAATAATTGGAAAAACACCACAAAAAATAAATCACAAAAAGCAATATATAACAAAAAGTTTTCAAAAACATTGTTTTCCCCGAAAAGTGCGTATCTGTCTGAAAATGTGTGTGCTTCGAATGTAATTGGTTTTTTATTTGACGCCTTGAAATGTATTTTTAAGTTTTTTGTGCTCAATTTTCGTTGATTTTTTATGTTGTTTACTTTTTGCGTTGTTTCATTTGTTTTATTCGGCCTCTTGGTGTTTCTCTCCTTCATCGTCGTCGTCTTCCTCTGCCCCCGAAATCTTCATTCAAAATGACAAATCAGCCAAAGACAAAAGGCGAAACGAAATAGAAACTAAATTGTGGATAACATGGATTTTATGCAAATTAACGGATTCGGTTTTTTGGAAACAGTTTTAAACGAATTCAAAATGGTTGTTGGATGTGGATGTGTGTGCTAAAAGAAATCTTTGAAAAATACAAAATGGGAGGAATGTACTAATAACAATCTGCCAAATCAAATCAACATTAAATTTAAAAATACTGTAAGAAAAAGCCATATTTTGGTTTCAACAGAAATGACGTGAAATTAAGTGAAGTTTATAAACGGAATATGTATAATTCAAGAAAATGTGGTTTAAAAACAAACAAAAAATTATCCATAAAAAGTACTTAAAGTTAAAGTGGAACAGAGCAGATTAAAGAATGGAAGTTCTTATTAAAAATGTGTGTGTGGAGGAAGAACAGAACAACCTCAACCGAATGTGCTACAAGTGAAAATTAAAAAACTAAAATAAATTGAAATATCAACGAAAAGTGTAATTAAAAAAAATCGACTTCCTGTTAAAACCAAAGGTTTTTAAACAATTCCCCCATGATTCATATTACAAAAGTCGTCCAATAAAAACTGACATTTTCGAATTCCTGCTAAAAAAGCCCCCGCGGTCGACGCGCTCGTCACCTTTTGTGCCACAAACACATGCGCGCCTCCCGCTTTTCTTGGGAATTAAACAGCAACAAAACAGGCACAGACATGCAAATTAAATTTTAGCGAAAAAACCCAAAATCTATAAACGCAATCAGTAAACAACATTCGGAATGAATGAAAAAAAATAAGAGTACTGGGGAAAAAATATAAAAAAAATTCACCGCAAAATTCCAAGTAAATCCCTCAAAACTGTGCTACTTAAAAATAAAACGAGGCCGTAGACGGCGACCGATCAGAATGCAAAATGGGGAAAACAAAATTTTGGCCAAATATCCATCATTTAAAGGAAAATTCAATTGAATATTCAAACCAAATCTATCAGAGAGACAACAAAAGAGAGAGGGAGAGCGGAAAAAGTGCGTAAAAGGCAGCGTGGCGTAAAAAAACAAGTTCTAAAAATAGACCAAAATGTGTCGCGTCTAAAAATTGACGCAGAAGTGGCGCAAACAACCAAAGCAAAGCAAACAACTAAATACAAAAAAAACACACAAACAAAACAAAAAACCGTGCACGCAAGACATTTAAAAAGCAAACTGAACTGAACTAAAAAAAAAAAAAAACAAATTAAGGTTTTTTTTCATGAGCTTCGTGTCTGCCTTCTCTTTTGCACTCCCTGTGTGTGTCTCTGTGTGTGTGTTTACCGTTATGATTCATCCAGCTGTTTGCGCAGCGTCGCAATCTGCGCACAAAGAAATATTGTACTTCTCGAACATTTTTGTCCGAGAGAGAGAGAGAGAGAGAAGGAGTGAGAGAGAGGCGAAAACCAATTACTAAACAATTTATTAAATGAAAATTTGGTGTGCTAAATCATGCACTAAGTACACAAAGAAAGGCACTTTCCTATTGATATATGGTATACTCTATACTATACTATATCATACTATACGTTACATCTATTACGACAAGTGCTAACAACGTAAAGAAAATTGCGTTCGGGACCTGCGAATGCGACCAGGAAGCAAAAATCTACGTTCGACAAAGATTGATGTAAAAGCGAGATGCCGCATAGTATAATGCGCAATGTGCCTGTTTGTGCGAGTGAAAGCGCACGTGTCCCTGGTATATAGTATCTATGTGTGTGTGTGTGTTTGAGTGTGTGTGTTTGAGTGTGCGAATTACGCTTCCGTCTATTGTGAATGACGAGGCGCACTGTGAGCACTGTTCGCCTTGCCATCTTTGTTGTTATCGTTTTGCCGTTGTAGTTGTCATACCCATCGGTAATCGTACAGGAAGAGGGTATAATATACTCGAAACGATTGGGTGAATGTCACAAAAAACAAAGAGAGAAGCATATCCTATCCGATCGATTCTTACTGAGAATCCAGAATCGAGATTTTTGACATGAAAGCTGTAAGATCTTTATTCGGCATCTAAATGTTGTAATGTACCCATGTTAATTCAGTATTTATACAGTATCCGTAAGAACCGTACGTAGTATGTTAAGCTTGAAAAACTATAAAAACTTCTGTAATATCCACGCACATGATGGTTATATTTTCTATATCTGTATCAACTCGAGCTAAAGCCACAGCATTTACATTATATCTAATGAAATATTTTCTGTGGTGTCCAGAATGCAGATGAAAGAAAGAAATTGTGTTATGAATTTTATGTAGAGAATTCTAACAATTATTTGGATCAGATCTGAAAATTAAATGTCCGGCATAGACAATGAAATATTCCCTGAAAGTACTGTTCTTCTCCGTTGAATTTAATTTCTCAACACTTTCTTATTGTATTAGAAGGTATCTCTAAGTCTTCACACTCTACTCGATCATTCTTACTTGCTTTTTGTTGTTGACTTGTGACATTTACACACACACATGCGTTTTTTCTTAACGGAAATTTCTTGGTCGCCAGGCATTTTGTACAAATTGCGACATTTTCCCCCACGACTAAAAACGTTCGTGTACGAGTATGTCAAAATGTTAATACCGAAATCTGTTTTAAGAAAAACTGCTGCATCATGCGCCGTGGACTTGGTTCTATATAGAACAAAAAAAAAAAAACTAACCTAACGAATATACTATATGTATGTATATGTATGATCTCGGGGCATACTATACTAAGTGCCACTGACCTAGGCAGGCAGGCAGGCGCTCGGTGGATGACGTGTTTTGTAAACTGATTAAAAAATTGCTTGCTTGATTTTTATACGGAATTTCTGAATGGGAAAGCATGTTTTGATTTTTGTTTTTGTTTTTCTCATTGTGTACAAGTAGATTGCAAATGTCGATCATCTAAAGTTCAGATTGGGAGTTCATTAATGATGCGAAATCGATGTGGTTTGAAACAACGCAATATCAGTATAGGAATCGGATTTTCCATTTGTGATACGATTCCAGAAACAGGTTATGGAATTTCCTAAGCCCAAGAGCATGTAAACATAACAGATAAATCTAAATACGTCACAGCTATTTCATCATCAGATGCAAGCGAAGATAACGTTGCCGGGCGGGGGGCCTTATCTTGTTTAAAGATGTTTCGGGATAAGACCGAAAGAAAAAGTTTATTTTTAACAAAAGAACAAATAGACATTAGAGTGCCGTTTTATTTGACTTTCGAATGAGGCAAAGAATCAGATTAGAATTGTCATTACATTATTATTAAATGTCAATTACAAAACAGTCATCACAGTCAGTCCATACGGCGGGGGGGTTTTCGTTATGAAATCAGTTTAGCGATTGTACAAATATCATTCAAAGGTTGTAGGAAGTTATGTCTATGGAATTAAATTTTTTATCAAAGAGAATCTATGCCATACTAACGAGAATAATCATGATGATCTGTTGACTGTTGATCTTTTTTCAATCTAAAAAGTTTGCTTTCAATGTAAACTATATTCCACTTAATTTATTTGCGCTTTAAAATATTAAACAACTGCTTTACAGCTTTAGCACTGCACTAAATGTCGTTAAAATATTTAGATTAGTTTCCCATTTCGTACATTCCTCCATTATACTCGTACTGCATTGGAAATATGTCGGTTGACTTTTCGCAATAGACTTTCAATTTATCAATTATATGCCAAATCAAATAAAAATCCCCAGCAATTAACAAGTTTACCTGCCACCGAACTGTACAGCGAGAAATAGAGATAGAGGGGGCCCCGTTTTTCAGTTGGCTAATAATGACGATGAGTGAGAGGGGGTTTGCCTTTTTTGTTTTTTTTTTTTGCCATGCTTAGTTGTTGGCATGAAAATTTCCTATTTTTGATTAGCACCTCTAACTCATACACAATGTTTGCCGGGTGTGGTGGGGGGGCGCATGGTACAGGGCACGAATAACAGAGTTAACAGAACTGGGTCCGGAATGACCAGCCCCGAACAGTTTCGCTGAATATGTTTCGATTGCCCGGTAGGCGCTGCTGTATGTGAGAGTGTGCGTGATTGGGTGAGTGATTGAATGAATGAATGAGTCACGGCTATCATTTGAGCCAGGCACGGACTGTTGGAATAACGGTGAAAACACTGTGATAAAGCCACTGCAAAGATTAATTGAAATACTTCAATAGGAATTATCTTTACAGAACTGTTATAATTTATAATATCCTGTAGCTAGAATTTTGTCCGAAAATAATTCACTAAAAATACCATAAAAATACTAAAAATCGTAATTTTTGTCTCCTTTCTCTTTACAGTTATTTACCAAGCAAAAGAACAGTGCTAAATGAAAGAGAATGAGACACAGTCGACAGACGAACAGAAGACGATGTTGATTGAGTGCATTTCGCGCGACATTCCCTGAGAGTAAAGCCACAAAATAAGTGCGAGCGAGAGAGCGTGACAACTAGTGAGTGATAGTAGTGGGCCAGAAGTGCAGCGTTACAGAAAGCTCAGCGTTACAATACCACACACTACACTACACCCCCACCGAGTGAGCGAATTAGCAAATGAACTTCAATCCGGCCAGCGTTGTAGCCGCAGCAGCAGCAGCCGCCCACAATACGCACCACACCCACCCCCACCTACTGCATCAGCAGCACCACCACCCCCACCATAATCAGCAGCCCCACATAATCCCACTGCCCAGCTACAGCAGCCAGCCAGCGATAGTGGTGGGTGTGGGCAGCGGGACAGGACTGGGAATCGGAGGAGGAGGAGGAGGTGGAGGTAGCTCCGCGGGCAATACAGCTGGCAATATATCGCCCAAAATCATGGAATGGACCAATGACGATGCCCTGGAGCTCATCGAACAGTATCGCTGTCACACAGAGCTCTGGAATCGGGCCGATCCCAAGTACAAGGACAAGTTGTGCCGGTTTCGGGCCTGGTCGGAGATTGCCGAACGCTTCGGTTGCAGCAAGGCCGAGGTGGAGCGCAAAATGAATGTCCTGCTCACCCAGTACCGGCGCGAGAAGCACAAAATGTTTGTGAAAATCTATCAGGGCATCCAGCCCAATCCGTCCAAGTGGTATGCCTTCAAGCGGTTCGATTTCATGGAGGCCGGCGGTGGCAGCCTAAGTGGTGGCGTCGGCGGTGGCCCCGGTGCAGGTGTCCTGACCAGCGCTGGCAGCAACATTGTGGCCAATCCTGTTGCCACCTCGGCGGCGGCAGCGGCCACCCACAATGGGCTCAATGGACTGGCTGCAGCCGCTGCGGCTGCTTACGAGAGCAGCACCATTGCAGCAGCGGGCAATGGTGGGGCGCCCGGTATGGGGGGCGGAATCGGAGGAACAACACAGCCCGCCATGCAGCATAGACGCATCAAGACCAAAGAGCTGAAATATTTCGGAGCGGTGAGTAAGCGGGGCGGAAAATAACCCGAATGCGTAATCGCCAAAACCGAGAGACGGACGGCAAACAAGTGTTGGGGGCTTAACCCCAGGGTGGTCAATGTCACCGTTCTGTGTTTGATTAGCTGGAATTTCCCCCTTCAAATAAACTTGTGTGCTTGTGTGACATTTCGGTTAGCAACAAGTATTTGACAATCATAAAAGCTTTAATTCCTGTAAATTTGATTTTGTGACGAAATCCATTGTACCGTTTATTTTAAGATAATATTTTTGGAACCCATAAAATCAGTTTTCTTCCAGCTTCTGTTGCCTGGTCATGGTCTGTCGACTTTATTAAACGTACTACTAAAAAAATAAATATGACCTACACCTTGCTGGAAGAGCACTTAATTTTTTGTTTTGCCTGCAAATCACGTGCGTGGGAGGTTTATCAATCGCTTAGCAATAGCTCTAATAACGCATCAAACGCATTGTACTTTTATCAAGTGAGATTTTATTTTTGGCACACAAATGGGGAAACTGTTTTCTAGTGTTAATTCCAAATCAAAACAAGCGCCAAAAGCTACCAGAAAGAGAGCGAGCGCCACACACAACACACACTCCAGTCCAGCAGGAAAGAGAGATAGAGAGAGCCAAAGCTGAACCAATCAAACATGTGCGCGAGTGACTTGCTGTTTTTGTAGCAGAGCGTGATTTTTGCTTTGCTGTGTGTCTGATTCTCTCTCCGACTTTCAGCTCTTTCAGCTTTGTGTGTGCTTTTTGTTGTTGTTGACGATCAAAACAGAATTAAAATTTTACGCATAAATTTTTCTTAGAAATTTGCGATGGTGTGTGTGCGTTCCTCGACCGCAGCTACACGAAATTGTCTCTCTCTCTCTCTCTCTCTGGATTGTATGCGCGTGTTTTGTGTGTGTGTGTTTGTCTGTTATTTGCCTTGTCGCGCCAGGCAAGCAGTTGAGCATTTCGTCGCCGTTTGCTCTGTTCCGCTCTCTCCGCCCCACCCTCTCTTCGTCTGTTCATCATTTTGTTTTTTTTGTATGATGAAATGTTTGTTTTGCACCGCGAAATGTTTTTCGAGAATGCGACTGCGACGCAGGCACACTTGCCGATACGTTAGTACCCCTTTGCAGAGGGTATGATGACTTTGTAAGCTGTTTGGAATTCACAAAAACGAATCGTGAATATTCAATGATATTTGGCTCACACCTTTAAAATTAAAATCTGAATATTACTATCTGAACCATATGTTTTCATAGGTATCATTAGCTTCGACACCTGAAGCTAGCTTTCTGGATGTTTTAGTTGTTGCTGTAGATTTTGTTTTTGTTTTGTGGACGTTTCTACCGCTTCGCTTTGGCTTCTCTCTCTCTCTGACTCACTCCTATCTTTGAAATGCTCTATCTCTGTCTGCCGTGATTCGTTGTGAGCTTTTGTTTTTACTTGGCTCTCTCTCTCTCTCTCTCTCTGTCTCCCTTTAGTTTTTTCACTTGTTCTTCGTTACTGTTGTTTTGCTGTTGCTTTTGTTGTTGTCCTTCTTGCTGCTGCTGCTGCTGCTGCTGTTGTTTGTCAGACTTATCAAAACAAAATGCGAGTCGGAAAGAGTGAAAGAGAGAGAGGAGTACGGTGCGTCAACGTTGTTGTTGCTGCTGCTCTCTGTCTCTCCGTCTCTTTGGTTGTTTTCATTCGCTTTTTGCTGTTGTTTCTAGAAAATAAATGAAATTTCTGTGAGCAAAATAATACGAAACTTGGCGCCTGGACTTTTGGGTGGGGGGAGTTTTCGTGGTAAAGTAAAGGACGCATAACGAATAGGTGTGGGAGTGAAAAAAGAGTGAGCAGGTGGAGCGGGGCATGTGGCATGCAACTTGTTTGTTCAAGTCATGTCACCTATTGTTTTCTGTGTTGTCCTGTAACGTATTTTGACATTTATGACTAGACAAATAGCTTTAGCACAAAGACGGAAAGTGTGACCACAGGGATTGTTGGCCAGAAAATGTCACACAAATAAAACAGTTATGTGTAGAGAAATATCATTATCAATGGGGCACAATATGCTTACATACATATGTACAATTGTTTTCGCATTAATTCGCATTATGGTAATTATGGTAACAGCATTATCGATAATAGTGAATTAAATAAGCCAGGTAACTGACATAACTCTGTATATACTGCCAACCAGAAGATCCCAAGTTAATTAAACTTTATCTTAAAAAATAATATTGATCGATAATTATCGATTGACCAATAGGTTGTCGATAAGTTATCCAAATTTGTTTTTTTTATACAGCTTTTGGCGTTATAGTCATGCTGTTTTTTTTTTTATTGTCAAATACCTGAATACCCCAATTGTTATGCTCACTTTTGACATCGGTTCCAATTCTATATCCCGCCACCCAACCTATCAGCACCCACATCCGACGACACCACCCCTCCCCTCCAGCTCTATCCCCCTCCCTGGTTTGCAGTTTGTTGTTGTAATTGTTGCTGTCATTTTACCGTTGTTCTCTCTTTTGGTTTTTAGCCTCTGTCTCGTGTTTTTTTCGCTGCTTTTGCGTCATTATTATTTGCGTGTGCAGGCATGACGCCCATGCCCATGCCGATGCCCACGCCCACTTACGGACCGCCCACTAGCGGCCAATGCCACCCACATCAGCCCACTCCCGCTCCACCACCCCCTCCCCTGCTCTTCTCATTGTTATGTATTTTTGTTCATATTTTGCAATTGTTTTGCTCTGCGGTATTTTCTTCAAGACAACAACAAACAACAAGAAGAGAAGGAAGGAGCTGAAAAGTACATCGCTGTTGTATCCATACCCTTTTCCAGAAGGGTATTACGAATGTAACCAGATTGATAGCCACAAAAATACACAAGCTGTTGATATAGGGATATAGTGGGTTTATATTCTTATATTCTTAATACGATTAATTTCAGAATTTTGAAGTACAACATTTAAACTTTGAAAAAATTAAAAGAAAATGTTGGAATTATTGGGAAAAAGTTTGGGTTGACGGAATTTCGGTTGCTTTACTTTTGGCTGAGTAGCATCGTGGGTGATCTTAGATCTTGCCGGATAACGCATGCGGAACTTCAAAAACTGTCGGCGCATATTTTCGTGTTTTCTTTGGTGAATACCTTGCGCATGCGTCTGATGTTTGCCTGTGCTCTTTACGACAGTCATTTCGTGGCAACTTCTGTTTCTTAAATTTGCAACGAAAATCTGGAAATGAAAACACAAATTCTCAAAAAAAACTAGTTATTATTTTGTCACAGGAAAAATTTGATGTTACCTCTAGGAAAGCTGTTCAGTATCTGAGTAGAAACTTTAGATGATTTCACTATTATGTGCTGACATTCTATACAGGGCATGCTGTATCAAAGCAAAGGAACGAACGATATACAAGGGTAGCAACGAGATCGGCGTTGGAAGTTAGTTTTCGTTTCTTGTTGCTGTTTTGGTCCCGCTATGTTGTGGCTAGCCAGCAGCGAGACGATGCGCCGCACGCATTGACTTGCACTCCCCCCCACCCCACTCTCTCACTCTCTTCTTAGTTGTTTGTGCTTCCTATTGTTGTTGGAGTAGCAGCAGGAATACCATGCACTTGTTGTTGCTGTTGTAATTCGCGTTGTTTTGTTTTCTCTCTTGCTCTGGCCTATACCTCTCCTCTTTTCACAACCCCCTGCGGCGTTTGGATGTGCGGTGGCGGAATGAAAAGTGCAAGGCAAATAAGCAGCAACAGCAAAAGTAGTGGGAATGGTAGAAGCGAAGGAGTAGCTAGCAGCGGTAGTGAGGGAGAAGGAGTAGCAGCGGTAGTGAGGGAGAAGGAGTAAGTAGTAAGAAAGGTTTTTACTATTACAAGGTGGGGAAGTCCCTGAGAGTACTCTCTGTTGGTGGGGGCAGAGCACACAGAACGCGTGAGCTAGTGGCCCAAAAATTAGGCTACTCGGTCCCAGTGAGCGGAAATGCTCCACCTTGTGTAAAGAGACCTTGGGAGTAAGAGCAACCCTGCAGCAGCAGTAGCAGCAGAAGGAGAGAGCAGCAGAGTGCAGCGGGAGTGAGAGCCAGCAGCAGCAGCAGTAGTAAAAGCCGCGAACGGCAGCGCAGCGCAGCACAGCACAGTAAATAGGCAGCAACAAAACTGCAGTCAACTGCAACGCTGGCAGCGCAGTCGACGTTTGTTTTTGTTTACTCATTCATTGTTTAGAGCCCGCTGCAGCAGCGCTGCAACAGCAGTGGAGCAGCGCCGTGGCGTAGCGTATGGAAGTTTTTTGGTTTCACGTTGATGATGATGATGATGATTACAATACAATGATGATGATTAGCATGGGGAGTTTTTCGTTGATGTTTTTGTTGCAGTTGTGGAAAGTTATGCAAGAATTTTGTTGTTTTCATTTTTGTAAAGTTCAATCGTGTGAGAGGGATGGGGATATGGGTTTATACCGTCCAGAAGGGGGAACCACCCCACAGAACAACAATGTAGGTGAAGATGTTTATGAGAGAAACAAAGTGAAGAAATTAATTAAAATTTAATATAAATTGTAGCATTTAAAAAATCTACTAAAATTTGACTGCTAGGATTTTCAAAGGAGAGAAAGCTAATTAAAAGAGCAGAATAACATTTATCAAAATACATAGGAAGGTGAACCTATTCTAGGAAAGGATAATATCATGCTAATATCCAAAAATGATTGAAACTTTCAATGGGAACTATCTCTGAAAAAGTAAATCATATAACACAAAAACTGACTCAATTCAAGGGAAAAGCTTTCAGCGGGATTAAATCTCGAACAACAGTTGACAACCCTAAAACTGACAGGTGCGACAAAATGCATGCATGCACTCCACATGCAGTTTCGTTTGCTATTTGTTCCACTGTTAATTTTACGACTTCCCCACCCTCCCATGGCAAGTGTATGAGGTGAGCAGGGGATGGGATAGAGAGAGGGCGCTTGCGCTTGCGGTTTTCATGGCAGTTTTCATTAATGTTAGTGTAGCATTTAGTGTTGTTGTTGTTGTTGTTGCTGTTGTTGTTGCTGTTGTTGCTGGTGTTGCTGCTGTGTGTGCGCTTTTGTGAAAATATCGCCATCGTACTTCAAAAACATTTGCGTGAGCAGAAGCAGTACAGCGGAAAGGAGGGAGGGGAGACACAGCTAGCGACAATTGTGGAGAGGTGGGGTTAGGGAAGGGGGGATACTAGAGCGTTATTTGGTATATTGATAAGAAGGTATGCCAGTTCGAGAGAGGGCTCCAGATTCAACCACATCTGGTTGGATAATCCATACCCATAGAATGAGTATAAAGAGCGGAGCGGTGCTCTGCCTTACCTTCTTTTGAATGCACTTTGTCTCGAGTCGAGTCAAAAGGAGTACAGTGACGACGATGACGATGGACGACGACGCGTAGTTTGTGTAGTGGATTATTTATTCATTGGATTGGATGATAATCAGTTTGTTTACATTTTTCAGTTGCACACAAAACACACACATAGAAAGAGAGAGAGAGAGACAGAGACAGAGAGAGAGAGAGAGCGAGCGCGAGATGAAGAGGGAGAGAGAGAGTGATAGGAAGAGCGAGTGAGAGCGAGTTCATTCTCTTGTCTGTTTTTATTTTATTTGCCTTAACAAAATAATAATACAGACATGCAAACACGCACACACACACACAACCAAACACACACACAGACAAGCTCTGCTCTGAATGCGTAAACAACAAAAGCAGCTGCAACAATAATAACAACAATTGTGTGGGGAAGGGAGAGATAGTGGCAGAGGGAACGAGATGGATGATGGTTGATTGTAGCGGGCGGAGGGAGAGCAGGTTGGGTTGGGGACCTAAAAACAGCAACGATGGGAAAAACAACACGAAATGTTCAACTGTTATTTATGATTCCCTAACAAACAAAATTATGAATGAGTTTTGCGTGTGTGTTTTAAAGAGAGAAATTACAATTTGTTTAATTTCGAAATATTAAAAAAGTTTTTATAATCGGATTCGGAAAATTTGGAGCAAACATAATTTACACATTATTATTGTAATTAGAGCTACTATTTTAATTAATTTTATATATGTGATTTGACCTGATTTCATGCGGGTTTGTTTACCGTTGGTTTTCGTTGGTTTGCCTTAAAACAGCACCACAGGAGTTTTGAGATTTCCAATCTGAGGGACAACTTTGATTCCAAGCCCTTCGTTCTCATTATTGTTAAGAACTCCATATTAAAGAGCATTCAAAGTTCTTTGTAAGGCACGAACTTTTTCTCATGCTTTGCTTGTTTTTGTCAATGTTTTTGATGGAAAGTTCTAGGCGCCATAAACGCAGACAAAAGAAGAAGGAGAACCAAAACACAACAACAGCAAATGACAAAATCCAGAGATCGCCAGACAGACAGAGACAGCGATAGCCGTGGAGTGACAGAGAGAGAGAGAGAGAGAGAGAGCGGGGAGCGTGATGATCGTTGACCACATTAAAACTGTTTTTGTAGTTGTGATTCTCGGCGTTTTTGTTTTGTGCGGCCCCAAACGTGGGGTAGGTTAATGCTAATGTCATTAATGAAAGCTCTCTCGTTTCTAAAACTCTACGCTCTTCGCATAAGCAACTGTCACGTGCTCTTTCGTGTAATCTCTCTTTGGCATTTAGCAAACTAATGATGATGTTCTCTTTTGGTTTTTGACAGCGAATGATAATCCGCTCTTATTGTGTTTTTCTGAAAACTAATGATGATTATGCTCAAATGTTACCAATGCTGGACATGCTCCTAAAAAAATTAAATGCTGACATTCGCAAAAGTCTCCCTCGCAAGGGAACGAATAGCAACAACATTATCTCCTTTTATCAAATCAAAGAAACCGTTAAGTGTCTCTCTCTCTCACTCTCTCTCTGTCTCTTTCCCACACTCAAGCACAACAAGTGTAGCAGAATTGCGCTACTCTTAAGAGTTGAGTTGAACGCTCTTTTGAATCGTGCCGCTCTCCGCGTTCTGTGCTTTTTGATATTTTTACTACGCCGCTAGAATAATTTCGGACCAAAAAATATTACGAGTTCGAGTCGTGTTCTCGTTGCGGCGGCGACAGCAACAACCAAAACAACACAAAAAACGAGTGTAAACATTCAAAAACGTTTCATCTATTGGTTTTCCACGGAATATTAAATATCAGAAATCTCAGATAAAAGGAAAGATGCATTATCAGAGCAGCAATGCGAATATCAACAGTAGCAGTCTGTCCAGAATCCCCATCGAAGGAACAACAGCAAACGTAAGATATTCTGGGCAGGGAGGGGAAGAGCTCTACTGTAGCTTTATAGAGTTCGGCTCGGAAGAAGAAGGTTCGGTTCGTGCACTTTGGCACCTTGCGCGACTCTCTTGCTCTCCCTTCTCCACCTCCGCCCTCTTCTGGCGCTCTGTGTGCGAGTGAGTGTGTGTGCGGCTGCGTGTGTCTGCTAATTTGTTTTGATCGTTTCGTGTGTTTGTCATCGTTATTCCACCAAAAAAAAAAAAAACCAAAACAAAACAAATCCAAAACACGATTCTAAATGTGGTCAAATTATTATTTATTTTCCATTATCATAATTTTGTATCATAATTTTGTTTGTGTGCATCCCTTTCTCTATCTTGCTCTGGTTTTTTTTACAGACAAGGTATGATTTTTTTTTAAGCTTATCCAAGTCTAAACGTGTTATCTTTCTTGGCAAAGGGGATTTGAAATACAAATCGGATGCTGCCACATGAACCATCGATCGCTCGAAAAGGGTATATAACGCTTCGATTTCCAAAGCTAGTCTTTCATTCATCTTTTAATTTATGTTATGTATTCTTTGCTCAGAGAATTAGCCGATGAGTGCACAAATAACAGCATTAAGAAAGGCTTTTGACCGACATTGGAATGCTACGCCAAAACAAAATAAAGCACAAATATCCAAATAATTATACCTGATATACCGGATATAAACAATTGACAGACATAAATGCTGTCTCTTTGGGGTTCCCAACGGTAAAGATTTTTATGCAAAAATCGAATTAACATTTGAATTAAATGCGGGAATGCAATGCATATTTTTTACATGAAAATTAGAATGATTTTAGAATTTAGGATAAAGGGAAATTCAGTACGGAGTACAAAATTTGATTGAGTAGAATATGATGAATAAATGAACATACATACATATGTATGTGTGACTTTTGAGATTTTCAAGATTTTCCAAATCAACCCAAAAAACTCTTATCAATAATAAACTATTTCCCAAACAGAAACCTCAATGAAATATATATTTTGTTGTTGTTTGAAAGTGAAACTTGAATCAATAATATCCCGTTCCATATGCCGTCACCGTTATAGTCGATTTTGAAATCTTGTGCCTCTTGCTATCTCAAGAATTTATTAGATTCAACCTTCGGCACACTTTCGAGTATACCTATTATCAAGCTGGTAACCAGACTCCTCTTCGCGAAAGGAAGATAACAAACGAAGATAAAACATTTGTCATATATAATAATAAAGTGAAGAAGAAGAGAATATTCTTTATGGTGACTAAAACAAAGGATCTAACTAATAAAGGAGAGGTATTTCTTTATTGTTTATACTTCACACATTTATCAAGCAAATACTGTAAAAGAGAGGAGAATTATACGGACAATGCCGTGTAATGCGGAGGATCACAGACAGAAACGTAGAATAGCTCGACCGATGGGCGCTGTTGCATTACGCGCGACACGAGTAACGGAACCAGGTTTAATTTACTTCTTCCTTATAATTCCTAGAGCTGAAGGAACTCTACTTTATATGGAAGAATCGGTTGATTGTGGTTTAAGATTTATTTATAATGCCCCATAAAAAGCACTGAACAAATTTTCATTGAGTAAATGTCTATGGCTGGGGACTTTGATTCATAAGTAGGTCTGGGTGCAGGGCTTTTATCTCGAATGGGGAAAACCTTTTCGACGGCGTCACGATGACGATGAAGATGACGATGACGGGCACGAACCTTTGGACACACGCGATTGAAAAGCTCTTATCTGAAAGTCTCGTTTGTTTTTGCTTCTCCCTTGCAGATGGGCCTCAACATACCCATGCTGATAGCGAGCAGCCAGACGCTGGACAGCTGGAATACGGCGGGCCAGTACTCGCCCCCGATATCCGGGTCTGCAGGAAGCGATCGCGGTGGCAGTGCCGGCGGCGGAGTGGGATCAGTATCCCAGCAACAGCAGCAGCAACAGCAACTGCGAGTGCCCCTACCCATGGCGTATGGCAATGCGGGTACCCCCTATGCCGGCGGTGGGCCGGGTAGCAGCAGCAGCGAATTCCAGCCTAGTCCCCACAAAACCATGGACACCTCGGATACGGAGGACAACAACAACAAGGAGGATGCAGCTGCGGCGGCGGCAGCACTGGGACAACTGTCAGCCAAAGTGGAACGACGCTCGCCCCACTCCGCGACAAGTGGGGGACCGGGAGGTGGACCCGGTGGAGGAGGTGGAAGCAGCAGTCGTGATGCCAACGATCCTGGCAGCGATCCCGCAGAGCGAGGCCCCTTGAGTGAAGCGGGATCCAGTCCTATACCCAACACCAATATGCACGAGGCGCACAAGAATCATCTGCTATCCAGTCCGGCGGCGATAAGAGCCTCCACGCCCCGCCAGGCGCACGAGCAGCTCCTCCATCCGCACGTACATCCGCATCACCTGCAGCAGCAACAGCAGCAGCAACAACAGCAGCAGCAGCAGGCGCCCCAGCAGTCCCATCCACACCATCCGCATCATGGCCATCATTCGGATGAGCTGGACATCAAGCAGGAGCTGGTGGACTACTTTCATGGCCAGCCCGTGGGTGGCGGCGCCGTGACAGGCGTCGTCGCCCCACCAGCCCTCGAATCGCATCGTTCCTATAGTTCGGCGGGCGAGGAGAGTCGCCTGCCGCTGGACATGGCCCAGGACCTGAGGGTGGCGGCCCAGGCCAAGGCCAACTTTGGCGCCTTTGTACTGCCGCCACGCAGTGGCACCACCACCACCACCTCCGCCACAGCCATGCCCCTGAACATGAGAAAGCTGACGGCTGCCTCCAGTGCCGCCGGCCATATGCTGATGAACTCCCTGCTCAGCTCAAGGGAGAGCATGTCCGACGGCGAGGAAGTGGACAACGATGAGGCCACCGAATCGGCCGCCAGTCCCGGCCACGTGAAGAGCAGCGTTTCGGCCCAGGATGCCAGCTCAGCGGCAGCGGCAGCGGCGGCAGCCACCGCCTTCTATGCGGAAAGCCTGAGCCGCGACGACTGCGATTTCGTGGGCTCCAATGTGTCGATGAAGCTGCGAACGATGGACCGCACCCAGCGGATCATTGCCGAGAAGCTGATCAGCGAGGTGCTCTACTACGGACAGTTCAACGAGCTGGAGCGTACGGCACGGATTCTGCCCAAGTGACAGTGGCGCCTCAATAAGTGGACGACGACAAATACAACAACAACGGGGACTGGAACTGGGACGACGGGGGGTACAACTACGACGATGGGTCTGGGTCTCGGTCTCGGTCTGGGACTGGGCTACGGCACAGTGGGTGGGCGGCGGGGACGTTTGCGGTCGGAGCATGGCAAATAAATGCAACGAAATTCCATTTATAAAAGAAAATAGTCAAAGCAAAACCAACAAACAAAATACAACAAACAAAAAACAGTACAATTTATTTTTAGTTTATTTTTTTGCCAGAATTCCCCCATGCAACGAAGGGGGTCACACACAGACACACACACACACCACTTGTACAAAGCATTAAGAGATGGAGGGAGGGGGCAGCGTTACTTAGGGAAAAGATATAGAAAAGGTTAGAGAAAAGGTACTTAACCTTGGGCATCCGCATCCCCGTTTTAAAAAGCGAAATTAAAACAATAAGCGAAATAAAACACACAAACCAAAGTTACTTTCTATTCGGTTCTGTTCTTGAGGACGGGGGAGGGGGAAGGAAGCTGCAAAAACAATAGTTGTTTAATTTGTTTTCAATATTACACAAAATACATAGAACGTATAATAGGGTTAAAGTCGGGTCGGGGAAACATACCTGAGACATCTAGCTAACAGAATCTCAGTATTAAATATAACAAAAAAAAAATACACTTTTACATATACCATAGGGGAGAAACACAACACAACACACCGCTACAGCTGACGCATGGAACAGGATCCTGTAAAGCATTTTTGCCATGTTTATAGTTAGATTCTTGGGTATACAGCCTCTCGTCCACTTCTAGGCGCGCACCAAAACATACACCTCGCTCTAAGAATCAAAATCAAAACCTATTATGGTAAAGACAAGGAAGGGGAAATTACTAAAAATGAAACAACAAAGAAAAACACAAACCAACTAACTCATGTTCCGAAAGAGCTGATTGATGGATGGCGAAAGGCACTTGTAAAACCTATACTATACACCTATATATGTTTACTATATATCTGTCTATGGATATACATGTATATGTATGTATGTATATGTAAATGGAAAGTATATAATATAATATAAGTATATATCATTGTACCTTATTTTGAAACAGAAATGTTTTGTTAGTCACATATGTCTGGTCGTCGAGAACACAGCAATCCAAAACCCAACAACCAACAACAACAAAAAACTGAAACCAACCAACAGAAAAATACAAATAAGCTATCACAAAAAAAAATTAAATAAAATAAAATTAAAGTAGAGTCAAACAAAAAACAAACAAAAATACACTATTATAAATATTGTTGTAAGAGGAAAATGTATTTTAATATATATATATTTTTTTTCGTTTATGTTTCATCTTCTTTTGTGTGCATAATTATTGTACATTTTTTTTGTAGGTCTTAATGATTTTTGCATAATATTTAAGTAGCTATTTTTTATTTTTGTATGCAAAGCAAAGCGAGCAGAAAAATAAGAAGAGAGAAACGAAACATTGAATTAATTTATATAAAATAATATATATTACGTACGTTTATAAATGTATACCTAACAAAATTATGGGCAAATTAGTTAGTCACCTAAATGAGAGAAAGAGATGTGGACGATGATGATGATATGATTATGATGAAATGCAGCTCCGGCTTTTGCTGTTGCTGCGTTTTTTTAGCCGTAGTTTTTACATTAGTCTAGTGAAAAAAAAAAATCAACAACAAAAAGTCCAAACCGTAAAACAAAAAGTCAAATGTAAAAAAAAATAAATATGGAAAATTATACAATATATAAATTAATTGTGTGTAAAATTAGCAAGAATTTGTTTGGCATCGATGTGTGTGTGCGGTGCGGTGCGAAGCGATAGTTTCTGTGTGTTCTGTGTGAGTGTGTGCATGGAAGGTAAACCAAAATAATGAGTTTTTTGTGAATGTGTACAAGAACAGCTAAAACAAAAACAAAAAAACAAACGTAAAATAAATGTGTGTACCTATTTGTCTGACAAGCATTGTAAAAGCGACATGATTTTGTTTTATTTGATGGTTTTCGTAAGGTAATTATTGGAATTAAATTGAAAAAACACAGGTTTGTATAATAAAATTAAAAAAAAATAACAATATAAAAAAATTAAAGATAAAATAATACCATAAATATGATTTAAATTCGTATAGTTTGGATTTATTTTACTTGAATTTTAATAGATTTATTTAGGTTATAAAAATGTCTTGAATTTTTTAAGGCAGTTTACGTATTTGACACCGCAACACCACAACTACATGTAATAGCATGATTTTTACATTCCCAACGCATCTTCATATAATGTAAAATTCATGTATGAAATAATTATTTATTTATATATTATATTATATTATGTATTAATTTGTATAGCGGATCACCCGGTCCAAACCTTTAGGATCCGTATAATTTGATGGCGGCGGCTCTGAACTTCTTCAAATGGAGCACTTTAAGTATGCATATGGAACAGTTGCTTTGCTCGAAATAGAGTCGCCTCCTATCACCCATTCCCATCTAAACCCAAAATATGTATCCATTTCTGGTTGATTAAAATTTTATTTTGATGCTCGTGCTTTACAGATGATTCTTTCAATTTAAAATTGCTTCAAGCTAAAATTAATTATAATTCAGTTTAAACTGAAATCGTTACAGAGTATTTTTTTGTGTTTTTAACATTGTTTTTTTTTTTTTTTGTATCTAGTAACTGCAAAACAACTTAAGTTGTTGGGTACAATTTAATTATGATAATGTTGGAAGCGCCGAAAACTTGGTACGTTTGAAAAACACGTTGAGCTGCAAGGGAAAACAAAGTCAAATTAGTATATTGATGGCCAAAGATATAGATAGATGGAAGACATACCCATCGTTGGCTGTGCATTATTCTGTGCGTTGTCGTAAATCGCCTTCTTGCGCGCATCCGACAGTACGGCATAGGCCTCGCCCACCTTCTTGAACTTCAGCTCCTCCGCCTTGCACTCCTCGGCACTGCTGTTGGCATGTTTGTCCGGATGGTGCACCAGTGCCTTCTTGTGGTACGCCTTTTTAATCTCCTCATCCGATGCATTCCGTTCTATGCCCAATATATTATAGTAATCCCTTGTCATGGACTTCTGCAGGGCAAGCTTGGCCTCGCGAAGCAAATTTTCAATATCAGTGGTCTTCTGCAACTTGAGGGCCGACTCATAGTCTGCCACTGCCTCCTCGAACTCCTCCAGATCATTGTGGCAGCGGGCACGAAGCAGCAAGGCCTTCAGATACTGGGAGTTCAGCTCTAGGACGCGACTGCAATCGGCCACTGCTTCCCGGAGAGCAACAATGCGAGTGTTGACCAGCGCCCGATTGTACAGAAGCTTCGAATTGATGTCCTTGTTGTGCTCATCGATCTTCAGAGCATCGGTGTAGATCGTATGCGCCTCACGATACCGCCCCGACTTGAACAGCATGTTGCCGTTCTCCTTCATTTCCCTCAGCTGTTTGCACTTGCTGCGCATCTGCTTCGACTTGTAGTGGTCGGGATCGAGGGTCAGGGCGCGCTCAAAGTGCAGGATGCCCTTCTCAAGATTGTCCGTGTAGTAGAGGCACAGACCGCGCACATATATGGCGTCCGCCGAGGTGCTGTCCAGCTTCATCACGCCCACGGCAATCTGCAAAGCCTCATCGTGGCGTCCCAGGTAGGCTAGACACTCGCCCTTCAGGAGACTATATCTGCAAGAGGAAAGGTTGAACAGTGCAAAATTAGTTTCTGGCAACGATCTCTGATTTGTTACGCGAAATACTTTACCGAGTGGAAGCCGGAGCCAGCTCCAGGGCACTATCCACGTGGTAGACCACATTGCGATAGGCCTTTGTGTCGTAGTTGGTCTGTATGGTCGTCTCCAATTGGCGGAGCTTCTGCGCAGACTGCTGTTCTACTTCGACATCCGTGTTTTGGGCATTCAGTTCCTTCAAAGTCTTCACGGCCTGCTCCGTGCCAATGATATCGCCCAGCGCCAGGCAGCACTTGGCCAAATTGACGTACGCCTTCTGTAAGCTTGGATTCAAGCGGATGGCCTTGCGGGCATCCTCCAGGGCGCCATTGTAATTGAGAAGCAGTAAGTAGATGGCAGCGCGATTATTGTAATACTGCGATGAGTCTGGGCACAAAGTGATGGCATCCGAATAGTGTTTGAGCGCATTCTGATAGTTTTGTGCCTGATATTGTTGGTATCCCAGTTTGTTTTTCTCCTCACCCATTCTGCCAGTCGATGGAAATGGAAAAGCGTAAGCCTGTGGCGAATCATTCAGTGGCTGCCTCTTACCTTTCTGAGCCTGGTGTCGAAGAAGAAGCGTGCCCCTTGTGGCCATCAACCGTGTTGATTTTCAGCACATTTTGACCGTTCTGTGTGTTCTTTTCAAGTTTCTGCCTCTTACAAGGAAAGCTGCAACTATATAAAATGAAAATACTTGGGGGGGCTAGAAATAATTCAGTTTCTGCCTCTCACCCTGCTGCTGCGTCACCTGGAGGATCGTGGATCTCGGGCTGCTGCTGCTTTTGTGTTGGTGGTGGCGGGTACCACTCCATTTGCATTTTACATTTAATAGTTATATTCTTCATTGCTCGAATTTGCTTTCTTTTTTGCACACTTCTTATATTTTCTATGCTCTCCTCTTCTTGCTGCTTTTCGTCGGTTTGACGGCGACGCGCTCTACTCTAGGGTTGCCAAGCCGTCGAAGGCAAAATAGGTAATATCGATGGCTGTGATTGTGGACGATAGATCACTGATCGCATCGCTTGTTATGAGATCTAAGCGCTAATAACCGTACGGTTAGAAATGACTACATCGACTCGAATTACAAATATTATAAGATTTGCATGGCCTACAACCGTTTTGTGGAACAATCGATAGGGTAGTGTCGTATCGATAGTATCAGCTGTCAGTTGACTATGGCTGCAAAACCATCGATATTTGGCGCTGAATTCAAATAAATTTAAAATGCCCATGGCGAAGTTTGGGAATTACTGCATCCTAAGTACTTCCTAGAATAAGTAAAGTAGTAGATGACCACAATGAATTTCCGGCACAAAACTAATGAACAGCGTATTCGTTCATTTGTATGCTGATGCTGTAAACATCCTCCTCTGCTCGCTCAAGTCTTTAGACAATTATACTTCTGAATAAAATCAGTTGCCACACACCCAAATAAACCGAACGGCTGTCCATTTCTGGTTGATTACGATTTTTACTTGATGCCCTTCTGCTTCACATATTCATTCTCTCAATTTATAATTACATCAAAACTATAATTATACTGAAATCATTACAAAGTGTTGGTTTTTTTTGTGTTTTTAACATCGTTTGTGTTTCTTGTAACTTAAAAATACAACTTAAGTGTCTGGCTTAAAGATTACGAAATAAAGTTGGTTACACGATTAAGGCCTACGCATTGTTTAATCATTAATTAATCAGTTATTCCTCTATGTGATTGGAGGCATGCACACATGACTCGCTGGGCCGAAGGACTCGTATTATAGGAATTTATTTAAATGACACACTCATTCGCCGCACACTCTCATTTAATTTTTCTAAAATATTTTTACATATATTTGAAAATTTTGGTAAACTTTTTGAATGCCGCCGCCCCGTGTAGGTAGTATAGGAGGTTAAAATTAACGTTTACAATGTGGATGGTGGTGGTGGTGGGGGGGGTGTGGAACATTAAACTAGAAATTTGCCTTTTGCTCATTTTTTGCTCATTCCAATTTATCCATCAAACAGTTCAATTCTTCAATCATGCACAAGATCTCTGTGTTTTTTCCATGGATGCGGCGGATAAAAATGGATGCATGTAAAAAAAATTCAAAATTATAATTATCCCATTTGTGCGTTGGCTGTGTGTGGTGGCAGAATGTGGATGGGTCTTCGCTGTTCTGCTGTGATGTTCGGCCTAAAATTCAAAGTTGAAGGATGCATTGCGTCCGTTTTGGTATTGGAAGAACGAACGGAACATTTGATTCGGATCAAAGTCAGCTGCAAGCGAAAATTAAATTAAATTAATATACTGATGGCCATAAATAAATGATAGATCGTAGACATACCCTGCTCTTGCTCTTCAATGTCCTGGCCGCTGTCGTATCTCGCCTTCTTGCGCGCATCCGACAGTATGGCATAGGCCTCGCCCACCTCCTTGAACTTCAGCTCCTCCTCCTTGCGCTCCTCGGCACTGCTGTTGGCATGCCTGTCCGGATGGTGCACCAGAGCCTTCTTGCGGTACGCCTTCTTAATCTCATCCTCGGTTGGATTCCGTCCAATCCCCAATATCTTGTAGTAATCCTTGCGCTTTGATTTCTTCAGGGCAAACTTGGCATCGCGCAGCAAACGCTTAATCTCGGTGGTCTTCTCCAGATTGAGGGCCGTCTCATAGTCGGCCACTGCCTCCTCGAACTTCTCCAGATCATTGTAGCAGCGGGCACGTAGCAGCAAGGCCTTCAGATACTGGGAGTTCAGCTCTAGGACGCGACTGCAATCGGCCACTGCTTCCCGGAGAGCAACAATGCGAGTGTTGACCAGTGCCCGATTGTACAGAAGCTTCGAATTGATGTCCTTGTTGTGCTCATCGATCTTCAGAGCATCGGTGTAGATCGTATGCGCCTCACGATACCGCCCCGACTTGAACAGCATGTTGCCGTTCTCCTTCATTTCCTTCAGCTGTTTGCACTTGCTGCGCATCTGCTTCGACTTGTAGTGGTCGGGATCGAGGGTCAGGGCGCGCTCAAAGTGCAGGATGCCCTTCTCAAGATTGTCCGTGTAGTAGAGGCACAGACCGCGCACATATATGGCGTCCGCCGAGGTGCTGTCCAGCTTCATCACGCCCACGGCAATGTCCAAGGCCTCATCGCAGCGTCCCAGATAGGCCAGACATTCGGCCTTCAGTAGACGATATCTGCAACATACAATGATTAAAATTAGTTTCTGGCAACGATCTCTGATGTGTTACGCGAAATACTTTACCGAATGGAAGCTGGTGCCAGCTTCAGGGCACTATCCAGGTAGTAGACCACATTGCGATAGGCCTTTGTGTCGTAGTTGGTCTGTATGGTTGTCTCCAGTTGGCGGAGCTTCTGCGCCGCCTGCTGTTCCCCGCTGACAGCTGTGCTCTGGGCATTCAGCTCCGCCACAGTCTTCACGGCCTGCTCCGTGCCAATGATGTCGCCCAGCGCCAGGCAGCACTTGGCCACACGTACGTACGCCTTCTCGAAGCTTGGATCGATGCGGATGGCGTTGCGGGCATCCGTCAGGGCGCTATTGTAGTTGAGGAGCATCATGTAGCAGGCAGCCCGGTTGCCGTAATAAGCGGCCGAGTCGGGGCACAACGAGATGGCATCCGTGTAGAGTTTGAGCGCATTCTGATAGTTTTGTGCCTTGTATTGATCGTTTCCCAGTTTCTTTTTCTCTTCGGCAATGCTGCAAGTAAATGGAAATGGGGAAACAGTTTCAATCTATGGTCAATCCTTGAGGCTCATACACAGAAAGGAAATCATCAGTCTCAGTGTCTGCCTGCCCCCCACCCTCTTGGGACTATATGTAATTTGAATTTTTAATTTCATGTCGACTTAATGCCGCGGGGTCTTTTCATTCTTTTCATTCAAGAAAGAAATATACAAAATAGAAGCAAGGAAAAAATGGCACAGCGAAAAGCAACAGGAAGTAATCCGCTTGCAAGCGGGCGACGTCTTTTAGTAGGCACTGTGGCACAAGAGTCGCTCAAAATTGTTATGTCTGAAGACTGTCTGTTGGTTGTGCTGCAAGTGAATCGCTTTCTGGTAGGTTTGAAATTTATTTTGAGTTCCTTTTTGAGTTCTTTCCACTTATTACTTTCCAGTTCTATTTAGCACTTTTGGCACACACTCTTTCGTTCCACTGTGCTGGTGCTGCTGCTGGAGAAGTGCAACAACCTGAGCTGGCACTCAAATGGGGCAAGAAATTATGGCATCACAATGGCCGCCAATAGGGCGACACTAATGCGGGCGCCAACGAATACCAAAAGCCAAAGAAATACCCACTCCTCCTCTCCCTACCCCCTCATCATTTTTGGAGTTGTGCCAGAGAGAGAGAGAGAGAGAACGAGCGAGTGTTTACTGTACTTTTCCCCATAGAATTGTCGCCGGGATTACACGGCATAAGTGCTTTATGGTGCCCGTCGTTGCTGCTGGCTGTCGTCCCCCGTTGGTTATTTATTTGCTTTTGTGGTTTCGGTTTCCTTTTCTTATTTTTTGTCCCATTAAAATGCATCGGGATATTATAAATATTGAGGGGGGGTTTTTTCCTGCGTTTTCCTTACGAGAGTTGTATTGTATTTTTTTTTTCAGAGGCCATTATGAATATGGACCTGCCCCAATAGATTTGAAATGAAGAAAAGGAATAGGTTCTAGTATTACTTTTGCGATTTAAGAATCGGTTCAATTTTCTGCGTTCTTTCTATGAAAATTTAATAAAATCTTACAAGAAAAATATTAAATTTATTTCATTTTCATTTTACTTGCTGAGGAAAGCAGCTTATTTGTTGGACACAGTCAGTATAAATGAAAATGCGCCTATTGCGTGTGAATAGAGCACAGCAGAGTTCTGGAAATATATACATATCTACATATATTCAAACAAAAGATGGTAATTACTACAAAAAAAATTTGTATTTGCATTTCTTCCAAAGACCACGCCAGACATAAGGCAATGTGTAGAGCAGAATATGGGAGTATAGGGGGGTATAGGCTATATAAGGGGTATTTGGCATTTTTTTTTCAAGTGTTCAGCACAAAAGTTTTAATTGCTGCCATAACTTGGCAAAGCGGTCGCGGCCTGAACCACAAAATGGGAGCAATGCGGTGAGGATAGAAGGAGCAAAAGAGAGGCAGAGGCGGCGGCAACACTTCAAGTCAACAGCAGTTTGCATAACAATTAGAGAGAGAGAAAAACCCATAAAAGTCAAAAATTTCCTTGCGCTTGATTGGGCTGAATTTTAGAAAGCCATTTGTTAGGACAACCCCCTTCTTACCCTCCACACAGCCTGCTTTGCCGACCAACTGGCTGCAGCCCCAAAAAGTAGGCAACGCAGCGTCTGAATTTGCATTTAAACTTCAATAAAATAGAAGCGGAAAAACTTCAACAGAGCAGACACAAGAAAAAAAAAACGGCCGCAAAGTAAATGGAATTACTTGTACTACGGTTTTAGATTACGAACGTGAAGATACCCGCTAAGCAGCATTAATTTTTGTAGAAAATGCATCTTTAAGGACAGGAGCTGATAGGGAGCAGAAGATATGAAAGTACTGAAAGAACAATATGTTTGGTCTCTTCTTGTTCTGTTAATATTATTTTCCCCTTTGCAGTGGTATTTTGTAGATTGGTAAAAAATAATTATTAAATTATATTATATTATTTTATTATTAAACCACTTTATGTAGATCCCTATAATCAGCCAAGTCGATGTGTTAGAACCATGGAATCTCCGGTTTAATTTTAAAAAGTTTGTTTCCATCGATCTGTCTTTTGATTCCGAATGACGGTTAAAACTTCCCATGTTTTATAGCTTAATACATACAATACGCAATATACCTATATAACTAACACAGTTTGCAGGGTATCAAAAAAACCTTAAGAGCTGATTTAAATTAACCAGAGGGAGAGAGAGAGAGATAGCTGGGGAGTCAGATAGTCAGAGTCCAAGTGATAGAGTGTGAGAGAGCATACCCAAAAAAAAAAACACATGAAAGCGCTGGCTAGATAAATAAAGCGTAAAGCCGAACCCGCGCTACCTGAACGAAGTGGTGAGGCGGCAAAAAAAAAAAAAGTCAAAGAACCAACAAGCGGGAATGAATGCAAAGCATGCAATGCAAATTTAAGCATGTACAGATATGTATGCATGCATGTACGTGGTGTGTGTGTGTGTGCGTGAAGGGGAGGAGAGGGGCCGGTACCAGTGCCGGTGCCAGTGCCGCCTTCAGGTCATAGCAAAGTTCAATGCGCGATAAGCGGGAAGGTGACCGACGACGAGCAAGTCAATGCAAGAACATTCGAGTCGCAGTCGCAGCTATGAATGAAAGGACTGGCACGATGGCGAATGTGTGTGTGTGTGAGTGAAAGAAGGAGCAAGAAGAATGTGATTGAGTAAGGGGAGTGGGAACGGGAGAGCCAACGAAGAATGCGTGTGAGTGGGAGCGAGGGGCCAGAAGAAATCAAATATGTGTGTGGGAGGTGGTGACAGAAGATTGCACGTGGTACAGCAGAGACAGAAATCAAGTGAGTGCTTGGCGTGGGAGGAAGACTGCGAGTGAGTGCGCGGGAGAGAGGGAAGAAGAATGCGATTAAGTGGCAAAGAGGTAGAAAGAGTACAAGATAGAGCGGGATACTGCAAGCGAGCGGGAGAGAGAAGCAAGACTGCGAGTGAACGGTAGGTAAAGTGAGGAAGTCTACGGTTGAGTAGAAGTGAGAGAGCGAGAGAAGCAGCAGGCTAGTGGAATAATCATTCCCCTCATGAATATGCAACTCTTCAATGAGTGTGTGTGTGTGTGGTGCGTGTTGAAGAGAGTGGCGTGATGACAAAAGTTTTCGCACGAAAATTGCACAGGAGATGACGACATGTGCCAGTGGTGGAATCATGCAAAATAGATTGTCAAAATATGTCAAAACTTATCGGTTAACTGCAGCTTGATGGGTAGTTTGTGGTGCAAAACTCGCAGAGTGTTGATATGCCAACTCCCCTGCCCCTACAGTGGGGTATTTCCAAACTTCTCCTGCCACGATGCAGCAATGATACTTTGAGGATACGTCTATGACAGTAGTTGGAATACGTGGGAATAGTTTTCTCCTGAAAGCTTCTAATCTATCTCTCTTAATTCATTTGGCATGAGATCTTTCGCTGTACCTATTCCAAACACTTAAGCATACTTTTTGTATACTTTCTTACCAGATTCTCTCTAGTTTTCGTTTGATAAAAATGATCAACAAGGGTACTCAACCTGGCATAGCATTCCAATGTTAAATTTTTCACCGAACCCGTGAAATGTTTGTCCTCCATCCTCAATAATATTTAGCTTTGAGCTAAAATTCTTTGTCGCTCTTAGCCGATTTTAATATTATTTATTCTTGATACGAATATGTTTAGAAACTCGCACTTCGAACGCAACAATTTTCAGAAGTTTTGATCAAATTTAGACACGAGTTTTTTTTATTTAGACATATTTGACATTTAAAATAAAGCACAATAGAAGTACATTTTGTTTTCACACAAGTCGAAGATTACAAATTTTTCTAAATGAATTTCACACTTCTTTGACATTTTGGTCAAAGTTTAATCAAAGTTTTTTACTCCTAAATTAGGGTACATTTGACTTGCTTATCAATACAGTTTCAAACCCTCAAGAAACCTCAAAAATTGTTCACACATTTTTTCCCACATTTCCGCTCAAAAAAACTTTTTCTCAATCTATGAAAATATCCTAATGGGCTATTTACGCTGCCATTTGCATTCCCCATTAACATCCTGTCACATCAAATTTGCGTTGACAACGAAAATAACAACACAAGCAAGCAGTCAAGCAGTCAAACCCGGGATGGAAAATCCAACAACGAAGCAACGAACCATTTTTCGGAATTTTCTACTCACCGCGGCAGAAATGTAAATTCCTCCGAACTCATATACAATTTATTGAGCATGGATCGAGGGAGTGGAGTCAGACTTTTAATGGTATTATTCTTTGGCATAAAAGTTGTGTTTTTAAAGTAGATTGGCTTCTGGTACTAAAAATATCCGTTGTTTTGCCACAGGGAACAACCTCGTAGATGTCACATTAATTACATTATCTCCTCATGCAGAGTCACTGGCACACTGCAGCCAAGAGGTTGGCCAATTATTACACACTAACGATGGCAGAAAACTACGACAAAATAAGTGGCTATCAAAAGACTATTTTAGCGAACACTTCGGTTATGTGGTGTCTGGTGGTCGGTCGGTCGGTCTCCTCTGTGGCAGTCAACGGAAGCGACTGATGTTGATGCTGTTGGCTGCTGCTGCTGCTTGCTGCCGCCTGGCCCCAGCGATGATTTTAATGCAACGGCACGTCGTTTCACTACAGAGAATTCTCTTCTGTTCAGCACAGAACGGTGGCGGGCCCAGGCACAACAGCAATGTTGCCCCGGCATTGCAAAGTAACAGCAGCAGCAGTAGCAGCAGTAGAAATTCATACCCGCCTTGTCTGGTCTGGTTGCACTGCAAGTGCAAAGAGCATGCGATTTTACTCTCTCACAGAGAGACAGAGAGAGAGTAAAAGACAGCAATTCGCGCATGTGAGAGAATGCTGGTGAATGAGGGGGGTCGAAGTGCAGTAGTAGTAGTGGGGGGGCTTATGGGGAAGCCTCTCTGCAGGTGGCTCTAACCATACGATGGCCAGACAATGCCACTCTTCTTA